TCTTGGCTAGGATATACCTTCGAGGTGATATAGGAGGTGAAGAAATGGGAGGAGGAGGAGGAGGAAGAACAAGAAGGAGGAGGAGAAGGAAGAGGAGGAGGAGGAGGAGGAGGAGGAGGAGAAGCAGCTTCAGATAATTGAGCTTTCATTTCTTATTTGAAGATGCAGGGGCAGCTAGGTGGCATAGTGGATAAATAACCAGTCCTGGAGTACCTGAGTTCAAATCCATCCTCAGACACTTCCTAGTTATGTGACCCTGGGCAAGTCATTTAACCCCACTTGCTTCAAAAGAAAAAAAAAAGAAAGAAAAAGAAAAAGAAAAGAAAAAAAGATGCAACACAAAAGTCATGAATGTTTGCAGAAGCTAGTTTGAGAATAAATGTGATTGCTATGTGAAATCCCTTGATAATCTTCAACAGGAAGGGGAAAAGTGTCTCACTGTGCAATGCTGAAGAACTATTTCATAGAGCAGTGATCAAAGGAGCAGGATCCATGGAGAGCATGGATTGTACTAGGATACAAGGAAGGAAAGTTATGGATGAGGAGCAGCTAGGTGGCGCAGTGGCTAGAGCACTGGCTCTGGAGTCAGGAGGACCTGAGTTCAAATCTGACCTTAGACATATAACACTCACTAGCTGTGTGACTCTGGGCAAGTCACTTAACCCCAATTGTCTCACAAAAAAAAAAGTTATGGATGTCACTAGTTGCAGCCATCTGTGTGTGCACAGAGTCTATTACTTACTTAGATTTGATATAGTTGGTAAAGAAAATAGACAGTAAAGGAGAGAGTGGGTGCAGGCAAGGGCTGTTCTGCATTTTTCTTTGGCTTTTTCTCAGGTGTGGACCATAGAAACCAAAGGGTGAACTTCTCAAATCCTTCAGATGTCATCAAATGTCAGGTCAAGCCTGTTAAAGACACAAATGCACAGAGCCATTTTTGGGAAAGTAAAAAGGGGCTTGAAATGGGAACTGGAGGCCGATTGCTTCATGGAGAGAGCCAATAGCAAGTACCCTCAGAAGCTGAGCTTTGGAGTTCCTTCCAGGAAGGCATGGGTGTCAGTGAGAAGATGAATACTGTGGCCCTGATAAGTCTAGCCTCAGAAAATATCTCTGGAATTTCAGTGTTGATTGGAACCAACTGGAAGAGTTTTACCAGCAGGCAGTAATACTTAAACACCCTGACAACCCGTGCTTCTTTTGAGGAAGCTTACAGAGAGATAAAGGACAGTACTATATTGGGGCATCAAAGAAACATTGGACCTTTCGGATCAAAGGGTAAATTGTGAGAAGTTCAACTTTGGAGACTCATGGCTGAGGAACAGAAGGATTATCTGAGGAAGGGACTCAGCATGTAAACTGGTATAATCTCACTCCATAAGTAGGATCTATCCAAAGAGAACCACATACAACCTGCTTCATTAACTCTTGCCCTTCTTGAGAATAATCTCAGAAAACTGCTCTCTCAGAGACAGAACAACTCAGGAACAACTCAGGAACCCCATGAAGGAATCATCACAGAGTCTTGTAGTCTGGGTGCCTTGCTTAGAGTAGAGATTTAGAAAAAGAGAGGGAAGATCTGGGTATGTGTGAACTTTTGGATTTTGAATAAAGGAAGTAAGGTGGATCAGTACACCATGATAAGAGTTGTGTCGTGTGACAAGAGACAAGTGTGTTGGACTGCTTGTTGGGTAGTCAAATTTTTTTAGTGTTGGATCTGTAAGTGGATACTACCAGATCTCCAGGGCAGAAGAAGATGAGAAGAAGATGCCTTCATCTGTCCAGTGGAATTCTACCAATGCCAGCACATGCTCCAAAGACCTTATGGGGCTTCTGCCACTTTTCAATGTCTTAGGAACAGTTATGATTCCCTAATAATTTTACAATGACCATGATTCTTTAATTGCCTCTTTAAAGAACCCTGCTTGTTGAAATGAAGTTCTTGGAAATATCAGTGCATCTGGATACTCTAACCTTATTTGGAAAACAGTTGGAAGAGCATGAGGAAAGACCACTGAAGATATTAGATGAGTCAGAAGCCAATGACCCAAAGCTGTCAGGCAACAAGTGTTGGATCTGTAGAGTTTTTACCAAATACTTGAGTTATATACTATCTCAGCTGGGAGTGAGTGCTGATATTGAGAAAGGAAGAACACCAATCACTTGGCCACAGCTAAAGAATTCTTGAGAGCTGAAGACTTCTAGGATTCAGTGGCTACTACTGGAAATCCAAGGCCAGAGAGCTGACCTTGAAGCTAAGAAGATTCTGGTTCAAATTCTGGCTCTGATGCATAGTGACTGTGACCCTGGGCAAGTCACTCAACTTCTCCATTCTCTAGGCCACTCTTTAAATCTATAAGTTTCAGAGAAGGTGCTGATCTATATTGGTAAAGGCAGTATCCTTTATAGGGAGCTATTTATATCAGTGTAATTACATATCTAATCCCTAGCTCCAACTCTTCTCAGTCCAATTGGTTCCTACCATGCTACTAATCTCAGAATTTCAGCCATCTAATTCATCACATCCCTTACAAATAAAATTCTTAATAACATTTTCCTTGAACCACTACTAAGAGGAGACCAGCTACTTCCTGAGGTAGCTTATTTTATTTTTGTGCAGCTCTAATTGCTTGGAAGTTTCAAAGTGTTAGATTTAGGTTTGAGGCAAGGAAAAACTTCCTTACATTGCTCCTAGTTTTCATCTGTGAGAAAAGTAGAGCAGAACTGAAGCAACTTAGTGGTGCAGTGGATAAAGAGAGGACTGGACCTGGAGTCTAGGAGACCTGAGTTCAAATCTAGCTTCAGACACTCTTGAGCTGTGTGACCCCAGTCAAGTCTATGTCAGTTTACCATGAAATGAGGATAGCAATAGCACGTAGCTCCCAGGATTGTTGTGAGGATCAGATGAGATAATATTTGTAAAGTACTTGCATGGTACCTGGAACATAGTAGCTGCTGATTAAATACACGTGTCCTCCCTTTTCTTTTTTTTTCTTTTTTTTAGGCAATTGGGGTTAAGTGACTTGCCCAGGGTCACACAGCTAGTACGTGTCAAGTGTTTGGTCTGAGGCCGGATTTGAACTCAGGTCCTCCTGACTTCAGGGCCAGTGCTCTATCTACTCTATCCTTTTCTACTTAGTGACCCTTCAACTACTCAGATGGCTAGCATTCCTTCCAAGTCTTCCTCTTTTCCAGATTTTATAAACGTGTCTAGTTCCTTTAACAAATCTTCATAGGGCATGATGTCAAGGATCTTCACCATCCTGGCTGCCCTTCCCTGGATGTTCTCCAGTTTATCAATGTCTTTTTGACAATGTGGCACACAGAATCGAACACAATAGACCAGATGTGGTCTGATTGGACCAAAGCGCTTCAGGATTATACTCTCCCTAGTCTTGGCCACTGAACTTTCTCTTAACATAGCCTGAGAGTGCATTAACTTTTCTGGCTGCTGCTTCCCATTACTGAGGAGCAACATGGTGAAAGGGATAGAGTGCTGGCCTTGGAGTCAAGCTCTAAGGGCTCTAGGAAGTTCTGAAACATTATAAGGTGCTGATCTGTACTGATGAAGAGAGGTCATTTCCTGAAGTTGTTGTTGCTGTTCAGTCGTGCCTGACTCTTTGTCCATTTGGAGTTTTCCTGGAAAAGATACTGGAGAGGTTCCAGCTCATTTTACAGATGCAGAAACTGAGGCCAATAGGGTTAAATGACTTGCCCAGGGTCACAAAGCTAGTAAGTATCTGAGGCTGGATTTGAACTCAGGTCTTCCTGACTGTAGACCTGGTGTTTTATCCACTGTATCACCAAGCTGCCCATGCCTGAAGTTACCTACCCCAATGAAACCATAGCTCTTTGCATAAATAAGTAAACAAACAAATGGACAAAAGAATAAATAGATAAAATAACACTCCTGGTTCATATTGACTATTCAGTCCACTGGAACCCCTAGATATTTTCAGAGGAAATACAGTCTAGCTGCACCTCTCCTTCATTATTCTGATGAAGCTGATTTTCAATGCAATGGAGGACATAACTGGACATAACTTGATATTCCCTTTAAAATGTTAACTTAAAGAATTTGGAGCAGGTATTCTGCGTAATATTATATTTAATTAGAAGTCCCAATGAATGCAAAAAATGTAATGAATTAAGGCCAGACAAAACTTCCTGATAATTCTGCATTAAGAACCTGTTAATCACCCACAAAAAGTTTAACTTCCACTCATTTGTCAATTATTTCCACCCTTTCTCTGAGTCAATGTAAGGTTAAATTTAGGGGCATGTTAAGAGTTTTCCTCCTAGCTCTTGGAAAAGTCTGTTTTCTGAGAACCTGCTTGGATTATGAATGCAGCAGACTACAATGAAGATGATGCCCCTTAAAAGCCCAGTGGATTAGTCTTTGCTTCCACCTGCTGGAATTTAAGAACAACTGAAGATAAATTTCTGTTTCTCCAACAAGTACCTTTCCCCACTTGTTGGAAGTGCCTAATCAGCAAGATTGCAAGGGGAAAAAGTTGCAGGAATGTTACTATTAAAAATTTCCTTTTATGTTTTTTTTTTTATTAAAAATAGCACCTAGTTCACTGCTGAACAAATAGTAAGTACCCAATCAATATTTATTGATTTTGTTTGACATATAAGATATGATCCCTCACCCCAATGTTAAAAATAACAGATATAAGAATTATAAATTGGGGCTTCCCAATAAAAATTCAGATTGGGCACAATTCCTTAGTGTGTTTCTAGCAAGTAGAAGGACACAAAATGCAACTTTATGAAATGGAACTTCACTAACGAGGAGTAGAAAAGAGGAAGGTGGGAAGGGAAAATATAGATAGAAAATGAATTTAAAAGACCAAAAATATAACATTTACTAAATGAGTGGTCATAGATAGTACATATAGATAGTAGGAAGAAGTAAGTAAGCCACATTTCAGGTCTATTAATCTTAACAAAATCTCTTCTATTCATTTATTAATTTTTAAAGTTGTAATGTTCCTTACAGACTCTCGATCATAGAAATCCTTTAGGTTCTCCCGCCATTTCCTCCTCTTCTTCAGTAGTCCATTTTCTGATATCAAGGGTAGACACAAGAAGCATCTCCAGTTATTCATTGCTTGAAATTTTGCTGAACTTCCAGGATTTACAAGGGCATCAACACACTCAAAACAGTAGCATCTACAACCAACCAACCAACCAAACAAAAATATTCATTAGAGTTCTTCCATGACAACTCAGAAATATCCCCATGATTGATTGGCTTGCTTTTTCTCTGCATGACAAAAATCACAGACAGAATGGCACATGAAGGACTCATTTAAAAAATAAGTTTTGAACTACTTGTATTTTATTTAAAAGTTATTGGAGTTGGGGCATCAGAAGTGGATTTGAAGTTGTGGAACGCAATGAGGGGAGACCTAAATAATTTATAGGTAATATCAGGACACAGAACTAAAAGGGAATTGTTTTGTTAGAAAGTATATATGTAATTTCTCAATTAGACTTCTCAATCACCTGTCTGCCAAAGAGCTTGGGGTCTGAGCAGAGAATTTTTAGCTAAGAAATGGCAAAATTCAAAGGAGAAAGTAAACACAATGAGAAAAAAGGACAGGGAAGGGAAACTCTCTAATAAGTGGCCCCTAAGGATATGAGAGATGAGTATAGTGAATAAACTTAGATGCTCAGTGCTTAGTGTGCCATGGCCAAATCATTGATGCTTGAAGGCTCTATTTATCTTTGTTTAGTACATACAAAAGACAACCTGGTATAGTGGACAGAAGGCTGGTCTTAAAATCAAGGTTTGACCTCTGACACATACTGACTGCCCTAGGCAAGTCACAAGCTGTCAGGCAATTCTTTAAGTTAGAGATGTTAGCTATCTATATCAATAGAGGAAATTTTCACCCTGGAAACTGTCACATTGATGAAATTTTGAGTATGGACAAAAACAAACAAAAATGATGACAGGCCAGGGTGATGTAGGGAAAGCTCAAGGGGAGAAAAGTTTCTTTTTTTCCACCACCAATCTTTGTTAGCAAATCAAGTACATGAATTCTCTTCCATTTGAGGAGTGGGAAAGAGATGTTCCTCTAATTAAAAATTAAATCATTCTTTGTTTTTACTTTTTAAATTTTAATTTAATATTTCATTTCCCCTAATTACATGTAAAAACAATTTTAACATTCATTTTTCAAAATTTTGAGTTCCAATTCTTTTGTTTTTTTTGGAAGGGCTTCTTAGCATAGAATCACCTGTGAACTTCTAATGAGAGACTTTGGTGTCCTTTCGCTTGCGAGAAACACACTAAGGAATTATGCTCAATCTGAATTTTTATTGGGCAGCCTCAATTTATAATTCTTATATGTTATTTTTAACATTAGGGTGAGGGATTATATCTTATATTTCAAATAAAATCAATAAATATTGATTGGGTACTTACTATTTGTTCAGCAGTGAACTAGGTGCTATGCTTGGGCAGGGCTACAGGGGATCAGGTTTGCCTGACAGCTTGTGACTTGCCTAGGGCAGTCAGTATGTGTCAGAGGTCAACTGTCTGGGGAGATAAGAAACTTAATTCTGGAACAGTTAAATAACGAAATTTGCAAACAATAGTTCAAGGCAACGGTGGAAGACACATTATGAGCCAGTCTGATTAACTTCCAAAGGAAGCATGCAGACTCTTGTTTTGAGGGTTAAGAGAAGGAAGAGAGCTCTTACAGCTAGAGCAGTCAAGGAAGCTTTAAAGAGGAAGAGGATACTGAGCTGGATTTGAAGCAGCTGTTGGCTTTGGATAAATATGGTATACCTCCCCACCAATCTTAGGGCAATGTTAAGCTTTTAATAAAAGAAAGTTGCACTAAGACTTTTGGGACACCTTGTGTGTATAGGATGTTCTGATGGGAGTAAAACCTATGGAGTCTAATGATGAAATGCACGGACATTGTCAATGTAAGGTAAATTCTAGGCACAATAAGAGAATTAGTTTTGCTAGAACAGAATAAGAATAAGTAGAGGGTAATGTGGACAGAAATGAGGATGGTGTAGGGGGTAATGGGAGATAAATCTTGAAAGGTAGGTAGAAGATAGATTGTGGAGAGTACTGAGTGCCAGGTTAAGAAGACTGGCTTTTATTCTGCAGGCAATGGGGAGCCTTTGAGAGCTTTTAAGCAGGGACGTGACCAGATCAAACAGATACTTCAGAAAGATTAATATAGTAGTGATATGTGCAGGGGAGTACAATGGAGGTGGGGAGATTTTCTGTTGTACCACTCATAGTATGTCCTGTTCTGCAAATTGCCATGGAGTTCCTAAGTTGGCTTCTCCTCATCACTCATAGGATCAAAGATTTATAGATGGAAGGGATCACAGAGGTCATCTAATAAAAATAATTATCATAGAATCTATCCCCATTCTACCATCCCCATTTCACAGATAAGGAAACAGGCCATGTGACTTGCCCAAGGTCACAAAACAGAAAGCTGATTCAAACCCAGCATCTGACTCCACATTCAACACTCTTCCCACTATACTAGGTACACATAAAATAGATTTTTTTGGGGGGGTCAAAATACAAGAATGCTGTTCACCGATATTTATTTAGAAAGTTTCTAAATGTTTGAGATTAAAATTGTGAGCTTCCAAGGAAAGGATCTGAGGGAGCACAACAAGAAGAAAAGAAAGAATTCTATCCAGGTTGAGCTTCTAAGCAAGATGGGCAATTTTCTTACACCAGCAAGTACCTTTCGGGTCCATCTCAAGTTATATAAGAATGAAGCTGGGTCAAGTTTTTAGAATGTGTTTCCATGTTACTTGTGCCTTCTTACCTGTTACAATTGGGATTTTCACATGTAAGCAGTATCTCCCCTGAGCAACAGATTGTACAAAGAGACTGATACCCATCTTCATCATATAAGAAGAATGACTCCAAGAAGTTGTCCTTGGGAAATAGTAACAGGTCAGTCATGAAAATATTTTTGCTTCTTAAAAATGTAATCCATGTAAACTTTATTAAATTTGTACTTCCTCTTGTCAGAGTTATGTCTGCTTACCTTACATTGAATACACATTCCTCCATCAAATAAGGGATGTTGTGTATGAATCTGGAAACTGCCACAACATATGCAAAGATCTAAAATAGACATTTGATGTGTTTAAAGTATAATGTTTATATACAATGACACTCCTCTGCTATCCATATGGGATACAGTATTCATTTTCATACCAGCAAAGCATATACTTTTTTAAAGGTTAAAAACCTGGTAGTATTGTTCCATAATGATTTTATAATCGGATATTCAGTACTTAAAAAAAGAAAAATAGCCTTAGTTTATAACCACTTATTTTAACTACATACTCAATTGATCTTGCAATCCAAAGAGCAACAGTGTGATATAGTGGAAAAAATACTTGACTAGAGGTCTAGAAACATAGGCACCAGTTCTTGCTCTGCTGCTGACTTGTTGGATTCTACTTTCTTCCCCAATTTCCCTCAGTTTCCTTCTCTATAAAATGAAGGTGTTGACCTCTAAATTCCCTTTTTACTCCAAAGACCTATGATTTTCTGCTTTACTCTTGTCTCCTAGAACATCTACTTTTTGCAAAGTATTCCAGCAAATTATCTTTTCTTGCTTTGTGTTGTTTTCATTAAGAACTGTTACTTTTCCCCAGGTAATCAAAATATAATGTTAAAATATACATGCTTGAAAATCCTTAGAAGTCCTATATGAACTGATTCAAAGGCAAACGAGCAGAACTAGAACAATCTATACTATAATAGCAAGATTGTAAAGATAAGCAATTGTGAAAGACATAGTAATTCTGATCAATACAGTGAGCTACCATGATTCCAAAGGACTCATGATGTATAATGCTATACACTTTCAGATAGAGAACTGATGGTGTCAGAGTGCAGATTGAAGCAATTTTTTAAACTTTATTTTCATTACTTTTTTTTTAAACATGGCTAATGAGGAAAAATATTTTTCATGACTTCATATATATAATAGGTACTGTATTTCTTGCCTTCTCAGTGGATATGGAGGGAGAGAGAGAACTTACAACTGAAAATAAAAATAAATTAAGTAAAATATATAATGTAATACATTTGTTGTTGTGGATCAGTTGCTTCCACTTTGTCTGATTCTTTGTGACCTCATTTGGGGTTTTCTTGGCAAAAAAACTAGAGTGGTTTGCCATTTCTTTCTCCAGCTAATTTTACTGATGAGAAACTGAGGTCAATAGGGTTAAGTGACTTGCCCAGGCTCACACAGCTAGTAAGTGAATGAGGCTGGATTTGGACTAAGGAAGAGGAGTCTTCCTGACTCTAAACACTCCATCCATCATACCACCTAGCTGCCCCTATTTTATATCTCTATCTATCTCTAGATATATCTAGAGATAGAGATATATCTGTATCTATACACAGGCACATATATAATTTATATATATTTTCTTAACTTCATAGTATCTAATATGGTACCATAGAATCATACAGTTGGAAGATATCTTTAAAAAAAGTTCATATAATCTAACCCCTTCATTTGGCAGGTGAGGAAATCAAGGTTTAAAGAGGTTAAATGACCTGGTCACACAGAGAGTGACAGAATCAGGATGGAACCCAGGTCTTTTTATTTCTAATGCAGCTCTCTTTGCACTGTGCTACAATACTTCTGTCATGTTACACAAAAAAATGGATGGTGACTTGTCACAGCTGAGGCTTTGGATATTCCTTTGATTGTAGTGAAGATTTGGGAAAACTTACCTTCTATATTTCTCTGGTTAACCATGACTTCATATGCAATAAGATCTGGAAGAAAACACAGGTAATGGAGCTCTGTCCTTCTCCACGTTAAGTTTCTTTAAAATCTACAAAGATACCTACATTAAAAGTTGCTTATGTCTGAAGACGATGTGTATATATATATATATATATATATATATATGTATACATATATATGATACAAAGATAGTATCATGTTTAACCATTTCCTTTTTTACAGTTTTAGTGTATTAAATACTCAATTCTGACTTATATTAAGCATTTGTACATCTTGATCTTGTTTTTTATATAGTTATACAATGGTTTTAAATGCTTGGTAATATTCACATGGCCCAGTTGCTGGAATTAAATGTTTTCAAAGAATTTCTCTATAAAAAAAATTTCAAAGTCAAACCTTTGCTGGGCCTTGGTGATGAGCAAAGCGACTGTTCACTAGAGTCCACAGATATCACCTCAGTGCTTCTTTCTTCTTCAAGTACCACAACTGTGACAAGAAATGGAAATGAACCCAGAAAATACAAATTCACAATAAAAATCAAGTACCTGGTAACTTCTTGTTTCTCCTATAAATTCTGATTTTTTCTAAATCTAGTGAGTCAAAGTTGTGAGTTTTGGTTCTCTTTCCATTATTATTGCCTTGGACAAATGATTTAGCCTCTTCTGTTAATTTAATTTGTCCATCAGTGACATGGTGCTCTAGTTGTTTCTCCTACATCACAGGAATGGATGGTGGGAGCAAAAGGAGACAGTGAATCTGAAAGCAGTTTGAACTCTTTGGCAGGAAGAAAGAAGCTTAGTGCAAGCAATATTACAGGAATTATTATCGCCATATTTTGTGACACTTTTCTCCCATGTCTTTCCATAATGTTAGAAACAAGAAATCCACATACCCTTCCTATAACCAAGGTGGAGGATGCAAGGCATTTCATAACATCTAGAAAAGTCTCCTAAATTCTCTGAGTCTCATTTTCCTCATTAGGATCATTGTGAAGAAAGGACTTAGTAAATATTAAAGGGATATATAAATGTGCGCTATTAGCATGAATAGTAATCAGGATTCCACGCGGCTTTTCTGTCTGCTTCCTTCTCTAAAGTACCCCACCATTGTCTTAATGGGACTCAACCAAGTTTCCTTCGCAATTCTGATACGGAAGGCTGCAGAAACAAGAGGCATCCCCCCTTTCATTTTCTTACCTATTTCACTGGAACGCTGTTGCTCTTCCTCCTCCAGGAGCTCCACCGTGTCTGACTCCCCTAGGAACACATCACTTAGAATTTCTAGGAGAGGGTGGGCCATGCTTTTAAGGACGCCTCTCTTTGCAACCCTAAAGTATTGGGAGGGTAGTGGATATCCTCTTGTAACAACGAGATAAAACAACGGTATGGGGAGTGATGAGAGGGGTTTAATGGGGTGAAGTGAGTTAAAAAAAAAAAGTGCCGGACCTATGTGGAAAGGGGTGTGGGCGGCTGCTGAGAAGTGTACTGCAATCCTAGAAGGAATTGGAACTAGAGTTTGTGGCTCGAGGCTTACTTTATTAGTTTATGCAGTGATTTTAGCTGGGGGGGGTGGGTGGGAGTGGGAGGAGAGAATAGAATGGAAATAGGAACAGATTTGGTTGCTTGAATTTCTCTCTGTTTCTGTCATTTCCATCATCCTTTTTCTTCCTCTCCCTCCCTGCATTCTCTCCTTCCCTTCCTTTTTCCCCACCTTTTAAATTTCTGCTTCCTTTCCCCACTCCATCCCTCTCTCCCCTTTGTTTCTTTGTTTCTTTTGTTCTTCATCCCCTTCTTTCCCTCCCACTTTCTGCCTCCTCCAACTCCACCTCAAGTGAATGGTGGAGAAATGTGGACTCAAAAATCTAATTAGGTTGTGTTGTAATCTGTTTTTTGAGACTGGTTTTTTTCCATCCATGGGCCCTATATAAACCCTAGCTTTGTCCCCTTTCTTACTTGCCCTCATCCTTTATCTAGATTCTAAAATATTTCTTGTCTGAAACCTTCCAGGATCAGAATTTCCATTTTCCCTGCTAATTAGTATGAGGAGAATAGTAGGAACCTTAATCATTTCATAACATCTTAATGGACTAACAATGTAGAAATACCCCCAATCACTTGGTGGACTAATATATGGAAAATAAGGAGAAATAAAACCTAACAAACCATGCAAGGACACAGCAAAGTAGACAATCCCTCCACTGCTGTAACAACTACTTGTCCTCGGAGATAAACCATTACAGGTCTGTCTAAAAGGACTTCTTTCACAATTGTAAAAGTATTTGGTTACTTCCCCTTATATCATGCTTATGATCAGGGCATATCTTCTCATTCTGATAACAAATTCCTGTCAGCTGCATGGCAAATGCTCACTCTCTGGTTGCTTCCTCTTTTCTCTATCCTTCCCTGTCCTATGAAAGATGCTATTTATCTATGCTAAATTGCTGCAGAATGCTGCTAATTAAATGCGTATTATATAAGCAGGACTAAAAAGTCCCAGAGGTCTGTACCCTAAAAAGCTGAAGTTGCTACCAGCAATTTTCTTAGCATGTTAATGCATTTCTTTGCTTTCAGTTGGGCCTCCTATCTTTGACCCACAGTCATTGGATATCCCTCTCCCAAGAGGTTCCATTCCTGTTGGTCAAGAGAATTACCCAACACTAGCACCCCCTTACCTGAGACTTCAGAGGTGAGAAAATAATCAGGGCCTCTGACCCTGTGCAGGATCCCATCCATCCCTATAACACATCTAGAGTTCTAGGGAATGGAGATAGATGAGTTCCAGCAAGAGCTTGGTTTAATGATGTCCTGGGAGTACTTCTTATAAGACTCCTTCCATGGCCAAATGGTAATTATGCCTGAGTCTTCTTGGTGACATCACTGACTTTTCCCATCTGGTTCTAGAGTTGTCTATCCTGGTCCTAGCTTGGGGTGGGAAAGGAAGGCATCAAGCTATCTGAGTTTTGGAAATATTGCTGCCACAATTTTTTTGAGGGGGAATGGAGTTGCCCCTGGAACCCTTCCTTCTTCATACCCTTCCCTACCTCATTTGTTTTTGGTGTCTCCAGTTAAGTCACATGGGCTTGATTGAAATAGGGCAAATACAAGAGCCTATGATCCCATAACTTCCATTTTCTCTTTTATATAGGTGATTCTCAACACTACATGTTCTGATCAAAGCCTGGCATAGACCATTCCAGTGACTCAGGCTCAGGACTGGAGAAGAAAAGATTTAGGGAGATATGATAGTTATTTTCAATTATTCAAAAGCCTTCCTTACAGAAGGAATACAAAGCAGGTTTCCTAAGAGAGCTTTTTTTTTTCTTCCTAGTATAAAGGACAAGTAATGACACTTGCTGGGAACTGGGAAGTTTTTGAGCTCCCTGAAATCTCAGCAAGAGAACTCAAGGGTCCCAAATGATAAATGGTCAAAGGATATGAACAGGCAGTTCTCAGATGAAGAAATTAAAGCTATCTATAGTCACATGAAAAAATGCTCTAAATCACTATTGATTAGAGAAATGCAAATCAAAACAACTCTGAGGTACCACATCACACCTACCAGATTGGTTAACATGACAAAACAGGAAAATGATCAATGTTGGAAAAGATGTGAGAAAATTGGAACACTAATACATTGTTGGTGGAGTTGTGAAATGATCCAATCATTTTGGAGAACAATTTGGAATCATGCCCAAAGGGCTATAAAAATGTGCATACCCTTTGATCCAGCAATAGCACTTCTAGGGCTATATCCCAAAGAGGTCATACAAATGGGAAAAGAACCCAAATGTACAAAAATATTCATAGCAGCTCTTTTTGTGGTGGTAAAGAATTGGAAATTGAGGGGATGCCCATCATTTAGGGAATAGCTGAACAAGTTGTGGTATATGAATGTAGTAGAATACTATTATGCTTTAAGAAATGATGAACATGCTGACTTCAGAAAAACCTGGAAAGACTTGTATGGTCTGATGCTGAGTGAAGTGAGCAGAACCAGGAGAACATTGTACAGAGCAACAGCCATGTTGTGCAATAACTAATATTGATAGATTTAACCCTTCTCAGCAATACAAGGATCTAATACATCTCCAAAGGTCTCATGATGGAAAATGCTATCCACATTCAAAGAAGGGACTATATTATTTGCTATTTTTTTCTTCTGTTGTGTTTTGTTTCCTCTTTCTGATGGTTCCTCCTATGATGTTCCTCCTCCTCTAATTCTTACTTACAACATCACTAACATTTTGTTTAATATGAATGTATATATATAGCCTATATCAGATTGCACTCCATCTTGGGGAAGGAGGTGGGGAGGGAGAGGGAGAAAAATTTAAAACTCAAAATCTTATGGAAGTGATTATTGATAAATCAAAATAAATTAATTAAAAAAAGAGAGAGAACTCAAGGGGACCTAGCATCCTAGGCATAAATGATAGAAGTGTTACTGAGTAAAAGGATACTTTTGATATATTTCTCACCTGAAAGATCTGGGAATTTTATGTAAAAGTGTTTTTCTTGCCTTTTTTTTTTTGGCATAAGGGGATAGTGAGTAATCAGGCAGAGCTGTTGGGCACCATTACCACCGCTCTACCCTCCACCACATGCACACACTTAAATGTGGGTCAAACTACTTCTCCCTTGGGGTGTCACTTTCTAACCACCCTCAGCTACACCCATCTAGGGAGTGGTTTTTGTTAAGGTCATGGGTAATGATTGATATCTGACTCACCTTGCTAGTAAGTTTTTAACAGAGTACTTGATTTTAAATGTACATACACACGTACATAGTGTTATAATATGGAAAGAGAGAACAAGGGGGAGAGAGAGAGAGAGAGAGAGAGAGAGAGAGAGAGAAATTCTAGTGAATGTATTCTCTCTTCTCTGGGCATTTTAAAATATAAATTTCCTGCCTTTGATTATGACCCTCCCCAGCCACAAACCTTGCTCTGGTACGTATAGCAATTTTCAATCTCTTTCCCTCGTAAGTTGTTCTCAATCACCTCTTCCTCAACACAGCATTCAACTGATTAATACAAACATTTTAATATTTAATCATGATCTAAATATTATAGATTGCATATCTATAATATAAAGATATTATAATCATGGCATAGATATTAAAGCAAACTTAAAAGAAACCTGAGACAGCAAGGTTACTTTCTCTTCCTTGTTTTGAGACAAATTAGGTAATCATTGTTATTGTACTGTTGTTCTGTATGATTTATGTGTTGAGGGTAGGAGTAAAGCAAAGGACAGGAGAGTGAAGCCAAAGAGGAAATAGCTCATCCCCTCTTCAACATTCCAATACCATTCCCCTCCATCCCCCACCTATACTACCTGCTCAATTGACAATGATGCAGAAAGTATTTCCATTTACTCAGAAATTGAACTATTTGGCCTTCAAGGTCCTTTCCTATTCTAAGATTTTGTAATTCTTGTATTCTAAGCTCAAGTGGAAGATAATGATGATAACAATAAATAACTAATCGAAATAGCACTTTAAGGTATATAAAGCATTTTACATGTATTATCTCAGCTGATTCTCACTACAATCCTATGAAATAGATGCTGTTATTATCCCTATTTTTACAGTTGAGGAAACTGAGGTTTGAGAGAGTTTAAGTGATTTGCCCAAGGTAACATTAGCTAGTAAGCAAGTGTGTGAAGCAGGATTGGAACTCAGGTCCTCCCAATTAGCAAGTCAGTCACTGTACTTCACCACTTAGCTGTTTGGATAACTACTTTTTGGTGATGCTGAAAACTGGACAGTTGCTTAAGCATTGTGAGTTTGATAATCTTTAATTTCTCTTCCATCTCTGGGATTCTCTATCTCTAACAGTCTGAGCTAAGAAGTCAATATGAAGGACCAAATAGAGTCACCAGACAGTCTCTGAGACCCTGCTTGGCAGACTTCTGTACTCTGTCTTCATAGTTTAATGTAGATTCTCAGAATATCAGATACTCCCATATTTAAATAGTAATACAAAACATATTCTAAAGCTAAATACAAATGCTTTTTTGATATTATCTTCCAATTTGAACTTTCCATGTCTTTTTTCCACTCCCTTTCCTGGTACAGATCACTTAGTTATTGACCTTATTTGTGTGTCATGGATCCCTTTGCCAGGCAGGTGAAGCCAGCCTGTACCTCTTCTCAGAATAATGTTTATTGACTACATTCACAATAAAAGGGAAGTGTTAAATTTCAGAGGTTAGTGAAAAGAAAGATGTGATTTTTTTCATCTTGCAAGTTCATGTAGTCCCTGAAATTTATCTAGAGTCCCTTGGGGGTCATTGAGCCCAGGTTCAGAACCACTGATTCAGAATT